GTAGGGTAAAGAAAAAATATCATAAAATACAAAGGATAAAGTAAAAGGCTATAAATAGCACTTACATACTCTATTGTTCCATCTACTTTCCACTTATATACCGCCACTTTATTTAGTAGCAAGAAAATACCCTAGAGTTTTTTAAACTTGCACTTATATACCCTCACCTGATTTTGGTAGCAATTATATACCCTAAAGTTATTAGAACCTGCACTAAAATACACTCAAGTTTACATAACTGAGGGTATTTATGTGCAAGTTTTAAAAACTTCAGGGTATTAAAGTGCTAGTTGTAAAAATTTTAGGGTAATTAAGTGCCGCCAAAAAAAGGTTAGGGTATGTAAGTGCAAGAAAACTTCAGGGTATTTAAGTGCTGCCAAAAAAAGTTAGGGTATATAAGTGAAAGTTTAAAAAATTTTAAGGTATTTTTTTGCTACCAAATACAAGTTTGGGTATACAAGTGAAAAGTAGGCGAAACGATAGGGTATATAATTGCTATTTAGCCAAAGTAAGTCATTTTCCTGCAGCGTTAAAACTTAAGATTTGAGAAATTCTAAACCCTGCATGAACAATACTAGTTTCATCAGTAAAAAGGTTAAGAGCAAAAGAATTGTATAAAGAATTGTGTTCATGTATATGGTAGGATACTCCAAATGCAAGCCAGCATCATCAGCAGCAGCCTGCAAGCTGCCCAGGAGCTTTTCTTTGGCTTCAGTCGCTTCTTCAATACCCTGCAACAGCAAAGAAGAAATAATTAATGAAATTGTATAAAATACTGTAAATTGCACGACAAATAGCGAAGAGCCCGCAAAGCTGTGGAGTACACAAACATAATTACTTCATGTCTCAGTAACCTACACACGGATACAAATTTCCTAAATCATAAGTGAACATTTCCACGGCAAACAAATTAGCTCTAATCATGATTGATAAAATAGAAAAAAAATAAACTTTTTCCCTGGACTGTCTGCTCAAAGTAGTTGAACCGATCTTTGGCTCCGTAGTTCAAATTTCTCTTTCACAAGACATTCACCTCCCAATGAATTCCAGCAAAAGAATCTTCTGATCTCACTTACATTCCAAAGTATTACCAAATTTACCATGTCCACCAAAGTACAATAGTCCACACCTTGTCTGTCAACCTTCTCTTGCTGTCCGTTTATTAATCATCAATGAGGGAACACGTGTAATATAGTATGCATCAGGTTTTCTCTTGAATTATGCAATGACCCCCTGCTGAAAATAATTCAATTGCAAGTAGCTTCGGATAGATAATGATGTACAGGAATGAAACAGCTAAAATGCAGAAGTTTATATTAAATGGACAACACTTATCCATATCAAAGTACATCCATCCACAATTGCCAAACTTCTTCAACCAGCCAATTTTAATGATACGCCAAAGCATGTAGCTTCCAAGTAACAGTTAATTTCTCATTCTTTAGATCTCGCTGACATTCATCTCCTGGTAACCCAATTTCCTCGACTTCACGAGAAGGTATTTAATAATTTGACAAAAATTCTTCATTGAATCTATTCAAAAGAAGCTCCCTTGCTCTCCCTGTCTTTCCTTCAGAAGACTATACATATGTTGTTCATCGATTAGAATCCAAAGATCCTATCATTTAGATCCAGCATTCAAGTTTAAACTTGAAACTATCAAAATACAGAAAATTTGAACAATATAATTTGTAGCACCGGAACTTCAACATTAAAGGAACAAAAGTTCTGCCAGCACTTAAGACAGTTTATTTTAGAAAATCTATCTACAGTAATACAATTGGAATTGCAACTTGTGAGTTTAATACTGGAAAAGGCATTGGATCATGATTCCTAGGCCTTAATATATTTCTACTGTCCATTGACATTTTTTCCTAGACTGGTTATATCTGAAATGCTACAAAGATTCAATCACCTGCAACTTTTGTCACTATTGCTCATGAAGTCACAAAGTTGGATAGATTTGAGTAAATGTTTTTTACATAGAACTTCTTCCTGCAGGAAGACAAGAATGGAAATCAAGTGCGATTTTTATTTGTAATATCCATGACCTAAGTGGTTGGTTGTTCCCTATTTCATAAATCTGGTCTGGTGTTGTTTTTCTGCTCGTGAAAAGTTGATTTAAACTATTGGATCTACCTTCCAGTAGAAGGTCAAATTATCATGAAACTAGGAAAGAGATAATAGCATTATTATTTAAGTGCAATGAATGGCAAAAGAAAGGGAAGTATCCTTGATGAATAAGATCATACCGAAAAATTAGCAAAAGCAACAGGCTTTCCAGATTTATTTTGCATTTTAAGCACCTCGAAGCCACGGCATCTAGCAACAAATAACAAAAGGTATAAATTCCTTTAGTGACGATCAAATGTTCAAGGTAAATTTGTTTGGTAAAACATAAGAGACAATATAGATCGAAGTCATCTTCTTGAATAAATGAAAATGAAGACTATCAACTTACTCTGATAACATTTTCTTTATATCTTCTTCACTGCACAATGGACTCAGATTAGCGATAAACAAAGTAGAACAAGGTGAAATACCATCTTGAAGTTTGCTTTTTCGGCTGCTGAGGGCCTGAAGAAGTAAGCATGAACAACATTAGCAAACAAGATTATTTACTGAAAACATTAATCACTAGTAAAGAACCACAAACAAACGTCATGATCCTAAAACTACATTGGTTTCAGTCTACATATTGCTTCAAATTTTATATGTTTCTGTCCATGGTTCTTGAAAAAAAGGAATTAAAAATAAAGCAAGCTACGTAGTAACTTATTACGATGTGCATAATTTCACGAGATTATAATTCTCGTTGCTTACTTGGAACCCTCAATGTACTTGGAAACTCAGCTGCTACTTCTAAGTTCTATAAAGACTCTTTAAGAACTAGAATTCCGACATGTAAAAGAGTCCAAATTTCAGCAATAATACTAAAGTAAACTACAGCTGTAACAAACAAAATGAGATATTTGTTTGCCTGAAATCCAGAAATTGGAAAATCAATGTCCTAGAATTCTAGTTGAGAAACAGCGCATGAGAAAGAAAAGAAGATGCAATCTCTCTCAGAAGTACTGAATGGAATTCACACATTTATTTATTTATTTATAAACAAGCCGAAGTTCGATAAAAAGTGAATTCACTTAAACTACATCCGTAAAAAGTTATGTTGCTCCCATTGAGGATAAAAAGAGGAGGGCTGATTCAGAACTTACATGTGCAATGAACACTCATAATTGCTAACTTCAGAAGTAATATTACGAGAGAATCAAAACTAATGGAGCAACAAGGACTATATGTGGACTCAAAACAAACATAGATCAAGGCAATTAAGGACATATTGATTGTTAATGTAACAGAATAAATGGACCTCAACAGAGTCTAACGAAAGAAAATAACTCATACATTCAGCTCGAAAAGTTTGTAAATATTTTGTTATTGTTGTAATTTAAGTTATTTTTATTTGGAAGACTCCACACCTAATCCAAATACAACAAAGAGTGGTGTTTACCTCAAATCCTTTAATTGGAAACACTAGTCCAAAGCAAGAAAGGCCCTATAGCCCCACCAAGCACAAGAGGGCAGAAGGAGGTTGAGAGAAAGAGAGGATTTTCAAATTTTTATGCAAAAATACATTTTTTTTAAATTACCAAATTACATGTTCTGGCACAGGTATAAGGACAGAGAGGTGAAATGCAATGTTGTTTGTTGATGTCTCGGACTTAAAAACAACTCAGTGAGAATGTAAGAAGCCGTAATTAATTACACATAAGGTGTCTATGTAGTTAAATGCCAAATTGAGGGCCTGACTACAATTCCCACTATTATAATCACATTCTTAATGAAAGTACATTTTGAAGAAAATATAGCTTTCCTTTTAACCAAGTCTAAAACTCTATGTTGAAAACTTACATTTTGAGCAGACCGAGCATCATCTGCCTTACGCTTCCTGTTGCCACAAATTGTTCCCGCGAAAAGGAAAAGAATTAGTTATTTAACAAAAAACATAATTAGAGGGCTAAATAAAACTATAATGCATGAAAATAAACATTCATCTGGTACCAAACATGATACGGTAAACTGTGGAACTATAACATTTTAATTAAAAATTAATTTACTGTGAAGTGCATTTCAACCTCTGTGTGGCACCCTTTTTGCTGGAATTTTCAATTTCTGTGTCCGCATCAGATCCACCGTTTCCTGATCGTGAAAATGTGCCAAAACATGTGCAAGTGAGCTGTAGAGTAAGTTTTGATGATAGTGTCTTTGGTGATAACTAGTCTGCAATTCTCAGCTAAAGATATGTGAATGTCGCCAAAAAGATATAAGCTGGGCTAATAATTAACTTAAACAATGTGATTATCTGTATTCAATACACAGAATTTAAGCCACAAAAAGAAACAGAGAAAACATTTTGAGATCATGCGCGTAAGTGAAAATATTTGCTCACTATTCAACATTTTCATTACCATTGTTGCTCCATATATTTTGCTCGTCATTTCTTACTTTAGCTCGTTTATCAATTATATCATATGCTCCATCCACTATATAAAAAAACAACTCCCCATTAGACAATCAATCAAGAAAAACAAGAGATACGGGTTCAGAGTCACAATATATTATGGTACCCCTAGGACGTCTGCGAGAATTTGATCTGGCCAGCTCAATATGCAATGTAGCTCCAGTTTCAGGATCAAAGATAACTCCCTGAAAGAGAAACAACGACAGGAATTGATACAAGGAGATATGCTAATAATGGAAACTGAAAATAAGAACAGATAATATAATATGATGGCATACTGATCAGCTAAGTATCAATAAAAAACACAAACAACAAAGTTGATCAAATTCATGAAATTTGATATTTAGAACTCTACTCCATGCATTTAAAGTGTCCAAAACCCCAGTTAGGAATGCTGGCAACAAATGCGTTGGGATTTGCAAAAGATTTATAATTCTGGCTTTTGGATTATAAAATAACTCAGACTAGCACCCTAGTCCCTATTAGCTCTCGAGTCATCATTTTTCCAACAGTCATAACCCGATTTAAGTCAAAGATCAAGATAGAGATTTGTGAACTCAGTAACACCAGATCAACATAGGTTCCCTTTTGTGTATCATATTCTAGGGTTTTTTTCTTTTATAAAGGAAAAAGGATGGGTCTAAACGAGATCCCTAGCTGTTTAGCGTAAAACTAAAAAAGTGATTACACAAGAACAGGTGAATGCTCCCAACCTATCATATTCCTGGGTTGAATTCAAAAGGTTAAATACTTAAAATAGAACCACATTTGCTTTGACTTGTGTTTTGGATTACTCAACCAACAGAACCTGTTTGCTCAAACAGATTCAGTTTTGAACTGGGTTTTGGTTTAATTTGGTTGAATAGGGAACTTAAACATGAATAATCTAAATACCCAACAACTTCATTTGCTCACTCAATCCTCAGCCCAAAAGGTGTTTTGCCCTAAATTCTCTCCTCCCAACAGTTGGTGCTGCCAATCCTTACACCTCCATATGAGCCATAAAGCTCTAGTCACGCTAGTTAACCACTGATCTCTAGTACTCTAATGCTTCTCGGTGTCCAAGCCTCCCCATCCCTCTCTTCCTCCCTATATCAAGAGACCGATGTTGACCTCCTTGAGATGCTGATGAAGGAGATTTTGGTCCTGGTTTTGAAGTACTGAATGGAGTTGTCTACTTTAGATATGGTTCAAAATCAATTTGTCGATTTTGTTTGAGGGAATGAGGGCTGTTTTCATCACGTTTAGCTTTCAAATTTAAATTAGAGCTGATTCACCATGTTTACCTTTCAAGTTTAAATTTGATTCTATACGACTTTGAATCGTCAAGACATTTCTTCATTTTTTACCCCAAAATGTATTCTCCCTAAAATAGAAAAGATACTGCATGAATCAAAGCAATCAAAAGCTTAGATGATAAGGAAACTACGAATGGCGGGGATCTGATTGGATAGAAAGCTTCAACTTTTATCATTCACTTCTCGGTTCTGATGTGACTCCACTAAATAATAATATATAATAATACTCCTTTTAAAAGTACGAGTTCAGGAAAAACTTTTCATGGTCAATATTACCCTTCACTATTTTGAATATTTCATTTAAATCTTAATTTATTCTAATTTTAATCATATTTTATCTAATTTCACGTAAACAATCTATAGCTCAACAATTTAAAAAAAAATATTTTAAATATTTAATTTAATTTTTAATCTATCCAAATACTAATTAATAATTATATGCTATATTAACTCCATATGAACTACCTATAACTCAACAATTTAAAAAAATAAGATTAAGAAATTATACATAGATAACATATTATAATACAAGAAATATTACAAAAAAACTTATTGCATACAATAGCCTTAAAAGTTTAAATTTACACAAAACACCTTTACTTTTTAAAACTTAAAAACAAACATGAAATATAAAATTTTAAAATTTGCAATTGACACCCTCAATATTTCAAAAATTATAGAAACAATCTCAAAAAGTTTAAATTACAAAAAAACACCCTAAAATTCAAAGATTTTTAAAACTTAGAAACAACATTGATGAATTCCAAGGATTACCATTAGGCACTTAAAATTTTAAATTTATAAAAAATAACCTCAAAGTTATAAAAATTATAAAACTCCCTCAAAAGTAATAAGTTATAAAAATTTTTGAAATTTCAAAACTTATAACCGGTACACATCAAATTTAAAAATTATCAGCAGATCGCTGAGAATTTAAATTTTTTTAAAAATAACCAAAAATTTTAGTAATTGTAAAAATTCCTTCAAATTTTCACAATTACAAGAAACATTCTAACATTTAAAATTTACCACCAACAAATTAAATATGAAAATTATAAGCACCCAACTTAAAATTAAATTTTTTTTATAAAATACTATCAAAATTTAGAAATTGTAAAACACACCCTCAAAAGTTCAAAAACACAAAAAGGCTAAAATTTGGTAAAGAAATAAGAAATGTTTGATATTATTACATTAAGATATATAAATTTAACTTTTAATTTAAAATTTATCATCCCTTTTTAGCATCTAAAAATAATCTAAGTTGATGGCGGTAAAAAATAACAATTATCGTAGATTAAAACTATCCAGTTAAGGAATAAGAATTTAAAAATATATGATAGATTAAAAATTAACATTACTGTATAAATTCAAGAAAGTGCATATAATTTTACTAATAACATTCACTGATAGAAAACAAATTAATAAAAGACTATAATATAATTTGTTAGTATTAATTGATTATAATGTATAAACATTTATCTCTAATGTTGATAATATTCATAGGATAAAAAAATACAAGGAGTTATGTATAGAGAAACTATCAGAAATTTTAGAAATATCATTTAAAAGAACTAAGGTGTTTTCATTTCATATATAGAAGTGAAGGAAATAAACTCAAAATTAGAAAGCATTCATAAATCATCTGAATTAACATTGATAAAAAGCATATCTAGCAAAGAAGCACTGACCGAGTTCCCCTTGAAGAACATATTGAATAATTTTATCTTAATTAAGAAACATTCTTCATGAAAGATACAAGAAAAATTAGCAAGTACTTATAAATTTTTATACTTTATTCTTAAAATACTAGAGGAATCATAAACTTAACATAAAATTACGTATAAATAATCTTGTAATAGAAACTAAAGTGAAGCCATTGATCAACTATATTGCGAGATATAATAAGTTAGATAAGATGAGGAAAATCACTATAATGGACAAAAAGTATGCACATGATACTTAATTACAATATTGTACGTAAAAAAATTAAAATCGATATTTTTCTTTTTTCTATATAGTGGCATGACTCTGCAAGTAACCTTATTTAGGGATATGACTACCAACGAATGATGAATTTTTAAGGACACGATAAAAGATAAGCATGTAATAGTATCGTCAGATTTCAAGATCTTTAAATATGAAGGTAACATATTTTACAACTAAAATTCTTATTAAAGGTCACTAAACATAAAATTCACATTTTATCAATCTCAAATTTGTAGGAAAGATATGCATGTCATCGTAAATTTTGTTAATAATATATATCAATTCAAAGATACGACTTATTAAAGAAATAAGAGAATGGTAAGTAAGCCAAGCAAACATCCATATAACACGATAAAAAAATATTATATTTTAAAGCTAATATGTAGGGCTCATTCAGAACAAGCTGCTAAAACAAAAACATCTCGATCAAGGCTCTTTATAAATACAACACAAATTTAAATTATTGAATATTTTATAGAATAGCTTAATTTTTTGCGTAAAATCAGGAATTTTAGAAGGGATTTTTATGAACTCTTTTAATATTTTATATGGATATATGGATGTTTTTATAATGTAAAAGTGTACTAGAGTTAGCATTAATCTTTATTTTATGATTTTTTTAAGTCTGTCAATGATTAGCAACCAAATTTATATTCTTTTTAGTTTCATTCTAGCCCACTTTTAGTTAATCATCTTGGCTTATTGGTTTTAATTATTCATCTTTTTTTACAACTCTATTTTTTTCAAGTGTTTTCACTTTTACAATATTATACCTTCTCAAATCAAGCTTGGCTTCATGTCGATCCAAATAACGTGCAAATTCAAATTAGCTTTAGATTATATTTATTTCTTGTCAATTCAATTATTAACGTAAAAAATTTAAATTTAGTATAGCCCATTAAAACAAACATTAAAGAAAATAAATAATCATAATACTAAAATTTAAAGACATAAGTGAGCAAAAACAATCAAAGTAGAACTGATGAACAAATTTTAGTAAAGAAATAAATTAAAAAATTTAATCATAGTATATAACCACGTGCATTGCATGTGCATAAAACCTAGTGAATCCAAAACCCTGAGTTTATGTTTCACGCAACATAACATAAAAAGAAATAACACGGTAAATGTTATTAATTAGAATAATTGTCATCAGACGCCCTGCATAAAACGTTACATGGAGCCTTTCAATTCCATAAAAATATGTGTCCTTTCACAATAAAACTCGGTGGGAGTTTAAAATACTCTATGCTTACTTTTCAATCACATGCAGGAAATAGGCCCAAAATCTAGGCCAGGTAGGAGTTGCATTTTGTATTTCTTAATCATTAAAAAAAGAATTTACTGGGAAATTAAGAGATACCAGAACTCATTATTAACCTGTCCCCAACCACTTAAAACACTTTTTTTTTCTGAGAACCCCATTAAAAACATTACATTCTTTTGTAGGTGAAGATCAGAATATGAAACAGCGGTACTTCTTCACACTCTGGCCAAGAAATTGTTGACGATGAAGTCGGCTTCCTAAAGCTGACACACAAATCAAACTTGCAAGAGATTTGCATGGGAGAAAAGTGGAAACTAGTAACCATTGAATCATACAGTCTGATTGACCCCAGATGGAAGCAAGCTAAACTGATCCGAAAAGATGTCCAGCCTTAATTCCAAAATGTTTTTTCCAAGGCATCGCTATAGATTGGACAAGCAGAACCCTAATCCAGCTTAAGAAACTGAGTAAGGATATTCAGAAGGCCATACCAGGTTGACATTTTGAACCACAAAATTACGAGCGTCAATGATTTCTAATCGTGAAATTTTTATGAACAGAAGTAAACTGTTGACATCATACATATGCTACTAAATTTGTTAATAACTAAATCAATTTCATATATGCTGGCGCAGCATCAAACTTAGAAGCAAAGGAATTTGCATGGAGAGAAAAGTGAAGGATATTATTCCTCCCAAACTTACATTCAGTTCGGTCATTGCAGAAAGAGCAGATTGATGGTTGAAAAATGTAGCGAAGGCAACAACCTGAGATATAAAAAGGTCAAAATGAAAGACATTTTCAGCGTGTTAAAAAAACCCCAAAATAACGAGAAAAACTGAATGAGAGAAGGAAACCCTAGAGTAAGCAGAAATACTAATAAACCCTAAAAACTGCAGTTTCTTCAAACTAGGAACATGGTAACCCCTTAAATCTTGCAACTTTGTAAGTCGATCAATAACCAGCGACCAATAGAACCCTAATCCTAGAAAAAAATGCTTCCAAAATCGGACCTGATTCCCACGGCCGGTGTATTCAAGGAGGCAGGTGTCGAATCCAGCGCGGCGGCGGAAGAGGTTGTGGATCTCACGAGCCTTGACGTCATCGGGGAGGCCGGATATGAAAAGGGTGTGGATCTCCTGGTTCGCCGCGGCGGCGGCGGCGGCGATCGCCG